GCAATAGATATGAGAGCACTTACATATGGGCTACTACAGATTCAAGAAGCCGACCTTGTTCAAGAACTCCAGCCACTTGAGTGCGTCCTTCTCCCCGAGCGACTGCATGTCCCTCAGAGTCGGAGACGCCTTCACAGCCTTCTCGGTGCCGAATCGGACCTCTTTCTCCGCCATGGCGGCCTCGAAGAAGCCGATGAGCTGGTGTGCGGACTCATGCCCGCGAGTCTGCGATCCCGGTCGGGCAGCGTCATCGCGAAGACGCTTGAGCCATTCCTCCGCCGGAACGAGGGGGACGTTCAGCTTGGCTGCAATGGGCTTGATTATGTCGTTCCAAGTCACCGGCCGCGGGGAAGTGAGGTGGACGATGCCCTCATTGCCGTGAAGCACCTCCAGAAGAGTAGACGCCGCGATATCAATAGGCACCCAAGAAACAGTCTGATGTTACGCTGATCAGTAACCTGGAGAGAGAGAGGGTCGATGGTGCGGAATACTCACGTCGTGCTTGTACGGCGCGCATCCGAGGAGTTTGCTCGCGCGTACAATGGCAGGAACCCATTCCTTGACATTCCATCCGCCGACGCGAGTATCACCGCTCAGCTGCCCAACGCGCACGACTACAGTCCTCAGGCCCGTTTCCTTCGCGGCACGGCCGAGCAGCTGTTCAGTCACCCATTTACTCTCACCGTAGCCAAGGCCGACTGCAAGCTCAGGACCGAAGTTGAGCGTCTCCGGAACAGGCCCTGTTGCCGAGTAGTCTGTTCACTGCGTTAGCCACGAGGGCTGGAATATGGAGTAAGAGGCACATACTTAGCACTGCGCTGATAGAGCTCACAAAGAGCACTGTTGGTCCTCCTGGAACGGGGGAGTTGAGCGCAAAGTCTATTAGCTTGCGTGCTCCGGCGATCAGCGGCTCGAAGGAGGGGAGCGATACGTTGAAGTCGACTCTCCATGCTGCAATGACGTCAATTGAAGGGAGTTATGATATTAGAAGGACGTCACCACGTACCATTGTGCAAGATAGATGTAACAGACCCGCGTATCTGAAAGACGTTTAAGCATTATGTCAGTGGAAGGCAGCGAGGTCCTACTTACCTCTGCAAAAGTCGCCTCGTCCAGACGGAAGTTGGGAAAAGACAAGTCTGCGTGATGGAAGGATACCTTGCTCGAGAGCAGGTTCTCGTCGAGACCCCACGTCTTGAACGCCTCCGCCTGCCTCTCCTTTAGCGTGGTAGAATCCTCAGGAGTTCCGCGGTTGAGCGCATATACGCGCACGACCTCCGGCTTCTGCAGCATCTGCGATAAAAGGTGCGAGCCGAGGCGTCCAGTAGTGCCGGTAATTAACACAGTCTCCTCCGACTTCGCGCTACCAACCCGAGAGGAAGTCCATTGCGACTTCTTGAACTCGGCGCTGTACTTGTCGAGTAGAGCCTCCATCTGCGCGATACGGGCGGCACGTTCGGCTTCTTTGTCGACTCCCCTCCCGGAGAGTATTCTTTGAACGTAGGTTGCAAGTGCCGAGATCGTCGGGTTGGTATAGACGAAGTTGAGCGGGACGTCGTGGATGGAGAGCTTGGTTGTGGTCCGAAGGGCATGGAGGATCGTGTTCCGGATGTATGTCGCTTGCAAGCTTCGCGTGCTCGTCAGCACTCAATAGCAACACTATAAGCCGTGTCCGCTCACCTGTCACCACCCTGCTGGAAGAGGTCATCATGGTCTCCGATGTGCGGCGCCTTCATGACGGTCTGTACGACCTTGCGCACATACTCGCGGACAGTCACGTCCGTCCAAGCTTCCGGGGTCGCGACGTTCACTTGGGATGACTCCTCGATCTTCCTGTAGACCTCTTCGATCTCGTCTGCGTAGTCCTTCAGGCAGACATGGCGACGCGGGGTTCCCTTCGCGGTGTACTGGAACGGCTTTGCTGGGTTCGTCACAGTGATCATCTACGCCGAGGTAAGTCTTCAGCTGATAGAAAACAGGGTCGGGGGGCAGCCACCTACTTCTTTGAAAATGCGGGAATGTGAAGGAGCGAACTTGTTCGCACTCTCAATCGCTGGCCTGCATGAACTTTCAGCGACTTCCAACTTTCCGTAGACGAGATGCAGTTGATTTCATACCAGATCTTGTGGCGGAACTCCTCAAGCTTCACCTCGTCCGCTGGATCAAACGGCTCCTTGGGCTGGATGATGACGCCGTTCTGGAAGCGTCCGCGCCCGAACATGAGAGCGGCTTGGACGTTTGGGTTCTGACAAATGATCGCCTCTAACGCGAGCATGAGGGAGGGAAAGGATATGAAGCCACAAGGATCACTCACCCATGGGGACTGGGTTCGTCTAAACAGAGAGGCGGCATATGAGCACTACATCTGTCGGCCGGAAGCAGGCACGGACTCACCTTCTCTCCGGTGGACAGGATGATCTGGTCGTCCGCCCTTCCGAGGACCTTGAAGAGCGCGGGGTTCGTCGGATGCTCTTCCATCAAGTCACTAGTGGCATACGCAGGCCGTCCGTTGAGGGTGCTGTTGTATACATTGGGCGCTGCCAATGGAGACTCCTGATGAAACACGGCATGGCACACTATATAAATATTGACACTTAGCAAAAAGAGATTGGCTGCACGTACCACGTAGACGAGCTCAAACTCTCCTGGATGTCCCTCCTGGTAGATGCGTTCGGTCCCAAGGTGAGGCGAGAGCGTGATATATTCCCAGTCACGAGAATCCGCCTGACTCAACTCCCGGAAGTGCTTCGTAGAAGCTCCGGTCTCAGTCCTGCATTGTGTAAACTCAGATCTGCGATGCGTCGAGGTACTAGTCGGAGGAGTGAGTGCACGTACAAGCCATATCCAGTGAGAATCTTCACTCCCTCGTTGGTGAGGTAATCTCCGACTTGCTTGTTCAGCGGCGCACCCGCGTAGATCTGTTTGCGCCGGAATATCAGTGCGACCCTGCTCCATGGGAGGAATTCTGACGACATACAATGGTGCGGAACGACGTGAGTGCCGGGAGATTCTCCGGGTCGCGAGCCCATGCCTAAGAATCGAAGATCAGACAGGGTCTGAGAGGGAGCATGACGAAACGGACCTCAATGAAGGCTGGTACGCAAAACAGGAAGTCGGACTTGCTCACGATCGCTGCGTCCAGCAGAGTGTCCGGAGTGGACACGATCGGGGGTGAGGAGGGCCGGAATACGTTCAATACTATTCCAGTTCCGACCTAGCACAGACGTTAATCAAGATGGTGGAATTGAGTGCGGAAGTCACGACGTACAGTCCAAGTGATGGTGAAGACACCCATAACGTCTATACGCATATTAGAAATCCAGAGCTAGTCCTGGTGACCTCGAGGACTCACGGAAGAGAGGCAGGCCATGCGCGGAGATGGACAAACCACAGATGTCGATATCTCCGAAGTCTGTGGGAAATGAGACGTGCGCGTGAGCCCATGGGACATGCGGAAAGTATACGCGTAACGGTACCTACACGGAGCGAAGGCCCAGCGGGCAAGGTTACGATGCGTGATAGGAATAGGCTTGGGGAATGAGGTCGACCCTGGATGCAATCAGGTCATGTGCCTGTATCGACCAGACTCGGACAGGCTGACATACCCGAAGAGTGGATAATAACAGCCTGGTCATCCCCGCGCAAAATACCCATCTTGACGTCATCCGGGACATCGTCCTCGTTGTACAGCTGCCCGAACTCAGGCATCGGGAGCAGCTCGACATCATAACCCTCCTTCGTGAGTTCCTCCTTTGCCTCCTCTGCCAAACGCTGCATGCCTGCATCGCTGGTCACAACAAGCTCGTGGACGTCGGTCGAGCGCAGGAGGTGCGCCACCGCAGCGGCAGAGTTCCGTGCTGACAGGGGGAAGGGCGTGAGCCCGAGGTACATCATGCCCACTATAAGCGTCAGATACGTCGGAGAATCTGGGCTCGTTCAGTGCATCAATTAGTTTAGTGTCATTGCGGCGGGGATAGCGGGGACGCGCCCACCCACCAGCTATAGCCAATACGCCAACGACATGGCGGTGGTCGGACGTTGCGCCCAGGGTTGTCCGGTGCTGGACGTGCCCCGAGACGATACCGGCAGCCTTGCGTATGCCGCGGAACACGTCTGCAAAGGTGAGCGTCCTGATCGAGCCGTCCTCCTCGTCGAACGCGATGACCGGATGCCTCGGGCTCTTCTCTGCGTGGAAAGCATAGAGCTCAGGTATCGTCATGTCGCCGAAGAACGGAGGCGGCACCCATGTCTTGCTCCCGACTCCCTGTGGAGCAGTCACAGCAGGCTCGGTGGAAATTGCGGAGGGCATCGTCAGGCTGTTACGATGGTGATCCAGTCGGGTAGGGGTGAGGAGATGTCAGTAGCTATAGTAGATGTGAGAGAGAGAAAGGGTTGTGACGAAGGAGGACCACACCTTGAGCTCGTCTTATACGGTCCATGGCGTTGCGCGGTTTCGACTCAACACCAGGTGATGCCTCCGCTCCTCCTGAGTCCTCCTCGGAGTGGCTATTCCGGAACCGGGTACATCGCTACTTCCGACAGACACTGAGACAGCGCAAATAGGATGACCAGGCAGTAGCAACGTTCGCGGATGCATTAGGCATCTGCTGCTGTCAGTAACCTTCGGGCTCTTAGTCACTCCTCGGGGCAAACAGATAAATCTGCCCGAGGGCCCGAGTGACAGTTCGTGTGAGAGCATTGACTCGAATGGCTGAACTTACAGCCGCGAATATCGTGGCAGGATCTCCCAGCATGACGTGCATCGCGGTGGCATTCTGCTCCTCGGACATAAGTACCGTCCAGATGAATGAACGTGAAAGATCTGCTGTCCTGTAAACTGAAGGAACTCGAAGTAAGTGTTCAGTCCATCACATTCGGTATTTATGCGACTGGTACATACGATCGTGTAAGTGAAATGGTACCGAGCGAACTGTTACCAGATGAGAGCAAGCAGCATAAGAAGGCAGCAACGTAAAACGAAAAGAGAAGACAACAGGCGACGACACCAGTAGGGTTCGAACCTACGCTCCCAAAGGGAAACAGATGAGTTCATACGTTCTAATCTGTCGCCGTAACCACTTGGCTATAGTGTCATGCACAGCTTTTTTTTGTAATATTTATGTGCCCTGGGAGCCGAATGCAGCAAGGAACGGAGTTCGAGACACTGACACTGTAGAAGTACTTCGCACTCATACAACAGAACGGCAAGATTCAAGTACTCGAAGTACACGCGCACCGAGCCACAAAACCGCAAGGAGAAAAGCGAAGGAAAGATACGACTAGATATGGACTGAGGAAAGCGAAGAACGAAATGGTGTCGGTCGATCAAGATGCAGCAGCAAACGAAGACTGAAGTGGGTAACTAGTACTAATACGCAGTCCAAAGTCCACTCCCTCCCTACCCCACTTTACTGCACATATAGGCACAAACCCTCACACACTAACTCCACAACTTGAGCCCTAGTCCACTCCTCACGCCTCATGAGGCAGCCCCCACATAAGCGCAACACCCCGCTCATCAAACAGCGCCCGCCTCGCCTTGCCCTTCGACCGCGCCGAGCGCACCATGCGCGTATACTTGTCCCGGGGCGCGGCGTACACCATCGGCATCGGGTCCTCGTCGTCGATCCCCAGCCCGACCTCGGACGAGGCGAAGCGGAGGGGCGACAGGGACCGTTCTGGAGGCGAGGGGTAGTCTTGCGGGTAGCTGGATGGTGGCATGGCGGGTAACGGGTGTGAGTGTGAGAAGTGGAAGGGGTATGGAGATGCGCGCGAGGGGGAGAGCGGCGGGAGCGAACTTGGAGACGATGGGGAGATTGGGGAGGGTGGAAGCGAAACGTCCTCCTCGTCGTCCGTGGAGGGAGAGGCGAGGTCCGTGAGCTCCCTGTGCGCGGGAGGGGTGATGTCGAGCGTTTCTGCGACCGAAGTTGCAATTGTATGAGGCTGTCCCGTGACGGATTGCTCCGTCACCTTGCAGACGTCCGGATGACTGATGCGGGGGGCGCGCATGAGATATGGTTCGGGAAGATTCAGGACGATGTCGTGCGAGGGAAGGACCTCGACGGACTTGTGTGCGGAGTCGAGGGGCTGCCGATCGACGTGCAGGGAGGAATTGAAGTGAGGGTATGTGAGGAACGGGATGGGCTTGTGTTCGACCTGTACGACGTCCCGGAGCGCGATGGAGGTGTTGGAGGTGTACGCTGCGTTTAGGCGTGGGCTGGGCTCATTCCTGAGCCCGCCGCGTGCGTTGACCCTGTGAGATACTGTGACTTAGCTCGTGGATGGGGTAAGGCGGGCCAATCGACTTACATCGCCAGGTATGAGTTGATGTACACTGATTAGACACTACGCGTCAATACACAATCGCCGAACAGGAAGAGCTCGACTCACACTTGATGACGAGGAACTCAATTGCGACAGAGATGAATGTGTTGGGGTAGGCGACCATCTACGACGCACATGAGCTTTGTGCATGACACCAACGAGGAGTAGCGGACGCACCATAGAGATCGCGATCAGAGAACAGACACTGCATCCTGTCAGACGGGGTGGCAGATGGAAGTTGATGGGATCGACTCACCTCGATATGATACCAGTATTGAGGGTATACACCATGAGTGTCCGAATCGGGCCGTTCATCCTGCAGGCAAAGGTGAGCTCTCCGAGTTCTCCGAATAGAGAACACCGCGGACACTTACGCTCCTGATTCGGTGCGGCATCTGGAGAGGAAGTAGCACAGAGAACCGGCAATGAAGGTATCGATTACAGTCGAGAAGCAGAAGGGCACGTATGTGGCCCACTGCGATGGGGTCTCGTCGTCAGTGTCCGCCCCTGGCGGGAGAACGAACAGGGCAGAACATACAGGAGCGTGGGATAGGCGGTCAAAGGAGTCGAGGCGGAATCTGTCGGGAGGGACTCAGCACTCGTGCAATTCATCACGAAAGAGTCCGCTCACGTCTCGTAGCACATCACTAAGGAAAGCTTCGTTAGCGCAAGGAACAGGTATTCGAATAACTTCAGACTCACCGATCGAGATCCCGTATCCGATGACCAGGAGTGCGCTCTGCGGTACGTTCGTCTATAGAACTGACATGTGAAAGAAACAAGCGACTTACGACAAACCACGGAACTAATCTACACATTAGCCATCGCGACGCGCCGGCGGACTTGGTGAGCTTCTGGTCACTCCATCGTCGGTCCTCTTTGCCGAATGGCTTGACGTGGTTGTCGATCGCGAGAACTGCGTACGCGTAAGGATGATACTTCGGCTCGGGACACAAGGAACTCACGCGTCCATAGGCGAAGAGTGTAGAGACTGTTCGCAGGTCAGTAATATTGCCTCGAACCAAGAGCCAGGACTCACGTGTGAACGGAAACGACGACAAGTCCCTGATATACACGGATCAGAATGACACACAAGTCGCAGGATTGATACTCACGTCGATTACTGTGCGGACCTTTGAAGGAGTTAGGCGACGCGAAGAGTGGAGCTGAGGAACGGCGCACCTTGAAACTCCATACGATATGCAAAAGAGCGGAAGAGTCATCGTAGTTGATGACCAGGTAAAAGTACACGAAATGAGCGCAAAGCGCGAGGTGAAGCGCGTCGAGGAAGCTGAACACGACCTGTGAGCGTGAGCAAGAGGATAGGTGAATCGCGACATACCAAAGCCAACATACGGCCAGTTTCCTCCACACCCTGTCCCCCGGATACTGCGAGAAGTAGACAAAGGCTTGGAGCATCGTCACGCCGAAGAGCCTGAGAGAGTCGTTTAGGGACGGGGATGCACGAGCCTGAGTCTAACTCACACGGCTGAAGCCAAGAGGCCGATGAAGAGGGCGCCGTACGTGCTGTTCAGGTCCGCCATAGCTCGCAGCCGTCTCAACGTTCGTCAGGAGGGATACGAGCAGAGAGATGGTGGAGGTAGGGTGGAGAGGAACGGGCGGGCAGCGAGGGCGCGGACGAGGGGAATGCAGGATGACGGACAACGGACGGGTGGCAAGGCATGGTGGAAGCTCGCTGGGAGGCGTGGCGGGGATCCGTGCAGCGTTCCTCGCCGCCACGACAGCGGCGACCAGATGGGAAACGACGATGCCGAGCACGGCGCAAATTGCGGGCCAGTGTTGACAGCGACAGAGTTCCGCGCTTCCGCCTGCAGAACCACGGTCGCCTGCATCCTGCCCAAACCGGGAACGTGCATAGCTCGCCGCTCGCCTCTGCTCAGGCTCGGACGCGTCTTGGGCAACGACGGCCTTGTGATCGCGACCGAGTCGTACACTGTTCTCGTGGGTGGCGAAACATGGCAGGCGCCGAGTAACACGTTGTCTGAGCGCGAGGGAGCGCATGGAGGCAAATATCCCGCAGGATCACGGATGCACCGGTGCCGTCGGGGAGATCTGCAGACAGGTACGCTGCAAATGAACGCGTGAATTACCCGGGAAGATACACTTCTGGCTTACTTCTGGCTCACCAATTAGTCGAGCGTCTCAATTTCCGTGGACGGGGTTCGCTTCCCTTCTGCGCCTCAGCAACCTACTATGACCTTAATCGGTTACCGATTCGCATCAGAGGGCATGCGCGTACTCACGTTTATCACCTGCCTCCAAGACCGTCGGGGCTTCATTTCTGTGAGTCGTGAACGCCAGAGTACGGCACAACGTAACGAGAACGGAACCAGTTCGGTGCCCACGGATGTCATGCATGTCATGGAGTGACTGGAACTGTTTCGGCGGATAGTATGTGCATTCCTGCTTGCCAATCTGAAAAAGTTCATAATAGGCGACCATCTGCGACGCCAGAAATGAACCTACCCAGTTTTGAAGGCACCATTCGGAGGCGGCGCCCGTGTTAGGCATGTGTACGATGAGCGTCCATATCACGCCGTTGATCCTGCAGGCAAAGATCAATCTCAGATGTCTGCTTCTTGCATCTGACGAAACCGCCGTGGGTACTAGTACTCACCCTCTGGCCTCCGCACGGAGCCTAATCAGGAAGTATATCGGTCAGACGGGCATGTACTCGAGTAGTATGTGGCCTACTGGGCGAGGAGATCATCGTCATCGTCAGTGACAGCATCCACAACCTGAACTTGGGCCAGAAGAGTGCAAAACGTACAGACGCAATGAAGCGAGTTCAGACGGAACCTACAGAATATGGAAGACGATGATTAGTCCAGCACTTGCGAAGCTCATCACGAAGGGGTTGGCACTCAAGTCTCGTAGCACACCGCTAGTGAGGAGCTCGTTAGCCGAAGAGCATCGTCACGACCGAGTCATTTCAAGCTTACCAGTAATCAGAAATGCTCTTGAAACATGTTTGGACCATGACTATTTGAATGCTGTACCTTCCTTGCTGAAAGTATAATCGTTAATCGCATTTCCTCTTCAGACCGCGTATATATGCGCCTTGAATGACCTACCCCCGCGTGTCATATTATGAGCATGGTGAGCTGTTTCACGATCAGCTAGGACATGCGCGATTTCCCAGACATGGTGGTAATGATGAAACGACGACTTGTCCTCCAGATGCCGCGGTCAAGCGCCAGACCGGCACTTGCCGTTAGCCGCTACTATACCGCAGTACATACTTAGTAGTACGCTGTCTTACTCCTAGTCTCCTCGAGCACTGCAAAGAAAGCATCCTTTCCGCAGATAGCGAAGGCATAGAAATCGGATTGTTGAAAGTAAGCAATTTGCTTTAGTGAGTATTTTGCCTGTAACCCCCTTATACTTGCCATGAAAGGCTTATTAGTCTTTCTTACCTGCATAAATGGGCCTTATCGCCAAGTTTTCCCGCTTCAGAAACTTATTCTATCCGAAACCTCATGGAACTGAGTGACCCTAACATTTCCGCAAAATATTGGCTCGGAGGAAAGGATGCGTTGGTTGCAGTGCTCACTCCTACTGTCTCAGTCTGTGGCCACCAGCGACCGCCACGCAATCTCGGTGGTTAACGTACACATAATATTGTACCTGGTGAGCTAGTGTACCAGCTGGGCGAGGTCACAAGCGGCTCGCGGGTGACATCGGACGTGTCCGCCAGCAATACTACCAGCCAGTGGAATAACGATGCACTCACTGTTGAAAACGACCT